ATCCAACATCTGCAGCATCCAACATCTGCAGCATCCAACATCTGCAGGGTTCTTGTAGGAGCGTTCATGTAAATAATATCACCAAAATCAATTGAGGGAAGGAAAGTCACAGATTAGATCGATTTATAGATAAACAGAATATTTTAAGTAATAGTCGATATGGGTTTAGAGCAAATAATTCAACATCAATGTCTCTCATGGAACTAATAGAAGAGACAAATGCTGTTGATGAAAAACAGTGTTTTGTTTTTGTTGATTTAAAGAAGTCCTTCGACACGACTGACCACACCGTTCTCCTTGAACAGCTGAATAAATATGCATCAGAGGATTAGCGCTACAGTGGGTATCCACTTATTTCAATAATAGGAAACAGTTTGTGCAGGTAAACAATGTAAGATCAAAATATTGTGTTAATGGACGTGGAGTCCCTCAAGGCTCTGTGTTGGGAGCAAAGTTGTTTATTTTGTATGTGAATAATGTGGTTGATGTGTCAGGACTTTTGAAACGTGTTTTATTTGTAGATGATACCACATTTTTTTTGTTCGGGTGAAGATATTGGACGGATGTTAGAGATGATACAGGCAGAATTTATAAAAATACAAACTTGGTTTCAACTTAATAAGTTATCATTAAATTTTGAATAAACAAAGTACATGCTATTTAGTAATAGAAAGAAAATTACCAAAGTCCCATTTAAAATTGACAGTATTGAAATTCATAGAGTTAATTAAATAAAATGTTGGGGTGTCGTTATTGATGAGAAGCTGACGTGGAAATCTCATGTAAATTACTTAAGAATAAAAATAATAAAATCAGTTGCATTACTGTATAAAGGAAAAGAGTTGTTGAATGACAAAGCTGTGTATATATTGTATAAAGTAATGACTGTTCCATATTTAATACATTATGGCAAAGACTGGTTCATCCCAAAGATCCAGTCCCCCGGCACAAACAGAGTAATGTTGTGTATGTTGTTCAGTGTCAGGAGGGTGATCAGTCTTACATCAGGGAAACTAAACAGCCACTGGCCAAAAGGATGGACCAGCACAGAAGATCAACATCATCAGGCCAGGACTCTGAGGTCTACACTCATCTCCAGGCCAGTGGTCACTCTTTCAGGGATGAAGATGTTCACATCCTGGACAGAGAGGAACGATGGTTTGAGAGAGGAGTAAAGGAGGCCATCTTTGTGAAAAGAAACCGTCCATCATTAAACAGGGGTGGAGCCTCCAGGTTCAACTGTCCCCCTCTTACAATGCTGTGATTGCTAGTATCACTCAGCCCTCTGTGAACAGTAAACAGCCATCAGGTGCTAATGATCCATTGTTAGGCTGATGGTCCTTCTTGAGCATGTGATCAGCTGGTTCTGGTTGTCAGCAGCAAACTGGTTGATCCACTCTGAGAAGGTGCTATTTAAGAGACTGAGCTGAAAACAGCACCTCAGACTGAGGAAGTCCTCAGGATGAGAGACGAAACATTTCTACATTTTTTTGTTGATTTGCTTTGTTTTGTTTTTTTGAATGTCCAGAGGACCAGATTGAACTTTTTTAGATTTTTCTACCTGGATTATTGAGCAGCATCAGGATGTTCCATATTTAATCTGTTGTATTGAAGTTTGGGGGAAATCATACAAAACAATTACAAATCCTATTTTTATTTTACAAAAAAGAGCTATAAGAATTTTTAGTAGGAGGTGCTGTGGTCACCAACAAATCTATTATTTCATCAGTTGAAATTATTAAAATGTTATGATTTGGTTGAATCTAGTATTTTACAAGTCATGTATAAAGCTCATAAAATATTAGCCCAAATATTCAATTAAAATGTGTTAAAAAAGAGAGTGATTATAACCTGAAGGGAATGGGAATGTTTGTAAAACCTCCAGTTAGAACTGGTGTGAAGGAGCTGCGTTGTAGTTCAGGAACAGGGTTTTAGATTTGTCTCGATATCACCATAAACATTTATAAAACAACGTGTATGTTTCAAAAGATGATTAAGTGAAAGTTGTTAGTAAAGTGTGATACCATGTGAAGAATGCCTGATGATTTGTGTTTTTCATTTGGGGATCGTTCAAGTCTGACTTGTTTGTTTGTTTCTATTCATTTGATTCTTTTAAATAAGGGGCAGATATTATAAGAATTTTTTTTCTTTCTGCACATTTTCATTCAATTTTTTTATTTTTGATGAATTCGTTTTGTTTCTTTTAAATGAATGAATGAATGAATTTTAAAAAAAGGGGAATGGGAGCGTTTCCTGTGGCAGGAAGTGGTCAGAGACTGACGGTGAC